CGGTAGAGTTTTTTTTACAGATATTTGAAGAAAAATTTATGGAGAACCTTGTACCAAATTTTCAAAACTTAGTTATAAAAGAAAAAATTTTTACGATTTTTTAACCACAAATTTACTTGCAAATTTTCGCAATTTTTACATGTTAAAAACACTTTTTTTTTATCACTTTAAGAACAACTTATAAGAAACCTTGTATTCAATTTTCAAGATTTTCTGGCCACCCAAAAAATTTTTATCGGCATTTGAAGATAAAAAACTTAGAAAAGTCGAAAATTTAAATTGTCTATAAGTAGCTTAAAAATGGTCAAATTCTTTGAAAATTTAACTGTGTATGGAGAACGCTAATATAAACATTTGGTGAATTTCAAGTATTTACATCGATTAGTTTTTGAGTTATAGCAAAATAAAAATTCGATTTTGTCGAAAACCAATTATGCGTTAAAATTCCTGTTTTTTTTTAAATATAAATTTTATTTTTCCCGGCGCTTTTAAAAACAACTTGGAGTTTTAAATTTTGAYTTCCTGAATGTACCTTGATGCTGCGTTACCCAAACAGTGATGACAAACACAAAATAAAACATTCATGGCTCCGCACGGAGTTTAATACTCACCAAAAAATTACGACTGTTTTATTATTCCTAATATGGTACAAATATGTTAAAAGCATATAAATATATCTGATATTATCTAATCTAAATAATATGCAAACAATTTAAAAATTCTGATTTTGATCAACTGTATTTAACATTTATTTAAAGTTGAAACTAAGTAAACCTTATTTTTTAAATAATTATATACTTCATAGTTGATAATTTTTTTTTTAATCACCAGGCAATTGTATTTGAATTTTCGGTACTTACCTGTTTTCATTAGACGTACAGCTTCCTTTTCTCTGTATGTCTCGCACGAAATCCCTTGTTCTACTATAGACGATAACGCTTTTTCTATAACAGGACCTATCATACGTCGTWTTTTAGTAGCTTTATGCAGTTCATTGAAATTCCCAACATATGTACATTGCATAAGTACTCTATAATAATATATTATATAAAATATTTTCTTCATATTCTTTAAGTTAATATTACCTAGAATTTTCTGGTGGTTTTTCAGATACTATTCCTTTAAAATAGGATCCACAATCAGAACACCGCCCAACAACAGACACATAATTTTCACCATTTGGTGACACTTTCGCTCGGTGAAATGAAAGGCAGCATGGTAATTGTGTGTGTATCCAAAAATGTTCTGCAATTAATGGTGTCCATGTGTTTTTGGGTAAAACTTCATAGGTTTTAAAACGCTTAAGAGGTCGTTTTTTATCCATTAAATTATATTTAACCTGTTGTGGTTGAATTGTCTTCCATTCGTCAGATGAGAATGTAATAACAAATTTTTTAWCAGCAAAATCTTCGTCACTATCCAATTCGTCAATAGACTCGGAATCTATAACATAGAGTCAGTTTATATAACTAAAAATGCATGGAATACACAAATTACATTTGAATTGAAACTGAACTAACCATCATTATCGTCTAAATTATTGAGTATATCATTTTTGGGTAATACTACATCTGGTGTTTTAATTGGCGTCAAGCCGAGTTTTTCTTTTACTCCATGGTATCCTTTGTAAAGAAATACATGCAGAGCATTGTTGGACATTCGATTATTTAATTCAAAACTTATATCCTGCCATACGTGGTTTGTAGCTACAACTACTTCTAATAAAAAATACAACAATAAATGTTGTAACAAATGTAACAACAAAAAAAAAGTTAAATATTGTTA